AAGGGGGGGACACCCCCAAAGTAAGGGGAAGGCACTTCCAAAATAAGGGGGGAACAGCCCCATAATAAGGGGGAGACAAGGCCAAAATATGAGGGGATACCCCAGCAAAATAAGGGGGGGACACCCCCAAAGTAAGGGGAAGACACTGCCAAAATAAGGGGGGGACAGCCCCAAAGTAAGGGGGGGACAGCTCCAAAGTAAGGGGGGGACAGCTCCAAAATGAGAGGGGAACAGCCCCAAAATAAGGGGGGACACCCCCAAAGTAAGGGGGCGATACCACCAAAATACGGGGGAGGAAATCCCCAAAATAAAGGGGAGATATTGCCAAAATAAGGAGAGGACACCCCCAAGATAAGAGGGAGACACCCCCAAAATAAGGGAGGAACATCACCAAAATATGGGGGAGATACCCCCAAAATAAGAGGGGTACATACCCAAAATAAGAGGGACACACCCCCAAAATAAGGAGGAGACACCCCCAAAATAAAGGGGAGATACTGCCAAAATATGGGGGGGATACCCCCAAAATAAGAGGGGGGCATCCCCAAAATAAGGAGGAGATATGGTCAAAGTAAGGGGGACAAAACCCCAAAGTAAAGAGGGGACATCCCCAAAATAAGAGGGGAACAGCCCCAAAATAAGAGGGGGACATGGCCAAAATAAGGAGGGGACAGCCCCAAAATAAGAGCGAGATATTGTCAAAATAAGGGAGAGACACCCCTAAAATATGGGGGGATACCCCCAAAATAAGACGGGGACACCCCCATGGCATGGGTGACAACCTTAAAGCAGGAGGACCCGAGCGCTGGGGTGACAAGTGACCTCAAAGTTGTGTTTTTGGGGTGTCCCTCAGCCAGCGCATGGGGGGGTCCCTGGGGGGGTTCCTAAACCCTTGGGATGTTCCTGAGCCCCTGGGGGTGTCCCTATGGCCCTGGGGGGTCCCTGGGGGGTCCCTGGGGGGGTCCCTGAGGGGACCCTATGACCCTGGGCGGTCCCTGGGGGTCACTGCGGGTGTCCCTGGAAGGATCCCTGTGCCCCTGGAGGGGTCCCTGAGGGTCCCTATGACCCTGGGGGTCCCTGGGGGGGTCCCTGTGCTCCTCGGAGTAGCCTGGGGGGGTCTCTGGGTGGGTTTCTGTGTCCCCAGGGGGTCCCTCAGCCCCTGGGGGTCCCTGGGGAGGTCCCTATGGCCCTGGGAGGTCCCTGGAAGGGTTCCTGGAGGGTCCCTATGACCCTGGGGGTGTCCCTAGGGGGTTCCCTGGGTGGGTTTCTGTGACCCTGGGGGGTCCCTGACGGGGGGACGGGGGTCGCCTGGGGGGGTCTCTGGGTGGGTTTCTGTGTCCCCAGGGGGTCCCTCAGCCCCTGGGGGTCCCTGGGGAGGTCCCTATGGCCCTGGGAGGTCCCTGGAAGGGTTCCTGGAGGGTCCCTATGACCCTGGGGGTGTCCCTAGGGGGTTCCCTGGGTGGGTTTCTGTGACCCTGGGGGGTCCCTGACGGGGGGACGGGGGTCCCTATGACCCTGGAGGGGATCCCTATGACCCTGTGGGGGTCCCTGTGCTCCTGGGGGTACCCTGGGGGTGTCCCTGGGTGGGTTTCTGTGCCCTAGGGGGTCCATGAGGGGGATCCCTATGACCCTGGGGGGTTCCTGAGAGGGGTCCCTATGACACTGGGGGAGGCCCTGTGACCCTGGGGGGGTCTCTGAGGAGTCCCTGGAGGGGTCCCTCAGCCCCTGGGGGTCCCTAAACCCTTGGGGTGTCCCTGGGGGGTCCCTATGCCCCTGGGGGCTCCCTGGGGTTCTCAGTCGGCTGCGTACCTCGGTGCTGAAGGTGAGGTCGTAACCCAGGGTGGAGACGTCGTTCTCCAGCAGATACACCAGCCCCCG